GGCGGGGGGGACCCCAAAAAAAGCCCCCCCAAAAGCGCCGGACTCACCTGAGCCCCCCGACACCTGCGGCACCTGCGGGGCAGCAGAGGGGGGAGGGGCGTCAGGGGGGGTCCCCTCATCCCCGGGACCCCCCCAGGGAACCCCCACCCCAATTTTTCAGGTGTTCGGGTGTTTTCAGGGGGGTCAAAGTGAGCTAGTGACATCATCACCAAAACTGGGGGGCACTGCGTGGGTGGTGACATCACTGATGATGTCACCGGTTAGGCCACACCCCGCTCATTTGCATACCTGGCTTCAGGTGTGTCCTAGGTTGAAGTCACCTGCAAGGGGGGGATACAAAGGGGGGGGTCAGGGGGATCCTGGGACAATTTGGGGACCCCAAAAGGGGGGTCAGGACCCCCCTGGGTCAGTCCTTGTGTCCTCAGCAGCAGCCTCAGCCGAACGAGATTCGTGAGGTCATCACCCCTGGGGGGCCCAAAACACCCCAGGACCCCCAAAACCCGGCCATGGGACCCCCTGAGACCCCCAAAACCCGGCTGTGGGACCCCCTGAGACCCCCAAAACCCGGCCATGGGACCCCCTGAGACCCCCAAAACCTGGCCATGGGACCCCCTGAGACCCCCAAAACCTGACCATGGGACCCCCGTGTTGACACCCCGAGACCCCCAACCCTCGCCCAGGGTGAACAATCCCCCCCTCAGGACCCCCAGGAGGAGAAGAGGGGTTACCTCGTGCCCCCCAAAGTCACAAGCTGGCCTCGGGACCCCCGGCTCTGTCCCATGGGGGAAGGGGCTCACCCCATCTGGGACCCCCGGGGGCAGAACGGGATTGAATCCTGGAATGGAAATAGAGGAGGGGTCATTGTGTGCCCTGCACACCCCAAAATCCCCCCCAGAACCCCAAAACAGCCCCTCCGAGGCCCCCTCAGACCGTCCCCGCTGGGACTGCTCGTCCTCTCGTCCCCCCGGGGGCTCCAGGGGGTTCCACCTTTGCAGGTCCTGGGCCCGGCGGGGGGGTCAGACGGGTGGGGGTTTCCTCATGGGGGGCCCGGGACCCCCAAACCCCAAAAACCCCAGC